TCAAAGAAAATAAAATTCTACCTTAACAAATGTAAGATCAATCAAAGGATTTGGTTATGGTAATTTATAATTAAATATCATTTTATTAGATATGTGTTGTGACATCAGTTAATGCCATGAAATTAATCCAAAATTAAAAATACTAAGTTTCATTCAAGAAAACGACAGTATCATTTGTACCTTAAATAGAGTTAATTGCATTATAATAATGATTCAAAATAATTTTATTATATGATGATTAGTGATTTCATTCTCTTACTTACTACAATCTTTCATAATAATATTTCATATCTTATAGTTTTTAAAACCCTATGTATTTATGGAAATTCTTATAATAATCTTAAAAATATTTTTAATGCTTGAGTATTATATAATTTCTTAAATAAATTCTTAAAATTTTAAATAATAGAAATTATATTGTGAATCAGACTTAATCTTAATCATCTACCAAGTATTCAATTACATATATAACAATTTAATTATTCTGAATTCATATTTTATAATTTTTTCCTTTTATTTTAATTGTTATTGCTTTAATATTTTTGTAACAAGATGATATCAATATACTCTACAAATACTTAAAAGCATAAGGCATATCAATAAAAAATTCTATTAGGTATGCTATTTCTTTTGAATATTGGTAATATTACATATATCATTGTATATTGCAAAGCATTTCTTTATGATTTATTTTGATTAGTGGATTGTTAAATGTTGCTTAAATTTATTTAAGTGAAAATAATTCAAAAAAAAAATGAATACAACTCTTAAATTCAATTCAATTCTGTTATCTATTAATTTATATATATATTTATTAATGGAATAGAATCCAAAATTGGCTTTTGGAGAGATCAACTATAAAAATTTGGAATAGTTCAAAGTCATTACCTAAAAGACCTTGCCAGTAACGTATAGTGAAAACTTTTATATAAAAATTCTAACCTATTCAGATTTTTCTACTCTTGGTATTGAAATTTAAGTAATATACAGGTTATTATAATGACATTGCAGTTGGAGCTATAACAGCAAGGATAGAGGAAAAGGATGGTAGAAAGACTGCTTATATAATGACATTTGGTGTTTTGGATGCATACCGTCGTTTGGGATTTGGCACATAATTATTGAATGAATTAATAAATAGAATTAGATCTCATGAAGAAATAAGAACTATATATTTACATATGTGGGTTAGCAATGAAATAGGATTTCAATTTTATTCTAGACATGGATTTGAGAAAACAACTTACAAAAAAAATTATTATACAGATATTGATCCACCTCATTGTTATATTTTAACAAAACGTCTCTATCCAGATGTTGATCCTCCTATTCCTTATACGGAAGAAGACACTGAAAAAGAATAGGAGATTGCACAATAATGAAGTATATATTTAGTAGCATTAATAATAAAAAAAAAGAAATTTTATGTTTATTATTTTTTTAATCTTTGTTATATTATTCAAATTTTGTTCGTTAAGAATAGTTTGTTAGTATATAAATGATAATTTAATATTCTCGAAATTAAACTAAATTATAATTTACTCATTTTATATAGTATTGAATAGATTAAGTATAATTTAATTAAGCTAAGTAAATTAAGAAGCATTATTTATCCCAATAAATTAGCAGCTTCAATAAAAAAAAGNATTTTTAATGCTTGAGTATTATATAATTTCTTAAATAAATTCTTAAAATTTTAAATAATAGAAATTATATTGTGAATCAGACTTAATCTTAATCATCTACCAAGTATTCAATTACATATATAACAATTTAATTATTCTGAATTCATATTTTATAATTTTTTCCTTTTATTTTAATTGTTATTGCTTTAATATTTTTGTAACAAGATGATATCAATATACTCTACAAATACTTAAAAGCATAAGGCATATCAATAAAAAATTCTATTAGGTATGCTATTTCTTTTGAATATTGGTAATATTACATATATCATTGTATATTGCAAAGCATTTCTTTATGATTTATTTTGATTAGTGGATTGTTAAATGTTGCTTAAATTTATTTAAGTGAAAATAATTCAAAAAAAAAATGAATACAACTCTTAAATTCAATTCAATTCTGTTATCTATTAATTTATATATATATTTATTAATGGAATAGAATCCAAAATTGGCTTTTGGAGAGATCAACTATAAAAATTTGGAATAGTTCAAAGTCATTACCTAAAAGACCTTGCCAGTAACGTATAGTGAAAACTTTTATATAAAAATTCTAACCTATTCAGATTTTTCTACTCTTGGTATTGAAATTTAAGTAATATACAGGTTATTATAATGACATTGCAGTTGGAGCTATAACAGCAAGGATAGAGGAAAAGGATGGTAGAAAGACTGCTTATATAATGACATTTGGTGTTTTGGATGCATACCGTCGTTTGGGATTTGGCACATAATTATTGAATGAATTAATAAATAGAATTAGATCTCATGAAGAAATAAGAACTATATATTTACATATGTGGGTTAGCAATGAAATAGGATTTCAATTTTATTCTAGACATGGATTTGAGAAAACAACTTACAAAAAAAATTATTATACAGATATTGATCCACCTCATTGTTATATTTTAACAAAACGTCTCTATCCAGATGTTGATCCTCCTATTCCTTATACGGAAGAAGACACTGAAAAAGAATAGGAGATTGCACAATAATGAAGTATATATTTAGTAGCATTAATAATAAAAAAAAAGAAATTTTATGTTTATTATTTTTTTAATCTTTGTTATATTATTCAAATTTTGTTCGTTAAGAATAGTTTGTTAGTATATAAATGATAATTTAATATTCTCGAAATTAAACTAAATTATAATTTACTCATTTTATATAGTATTGAATAGATTAAGTATAATTTAATTAAGCTAAGTAAATTAAGAAGCATTATTTATCCCAATAAATTAGCAGCTTCAATAAAAAAAAGAAAACAATTAAATATTTATTATGTAAACACAACAATGGTTTAATAATTAAAATAAACTTATCTTAATAATTTTTTTTATTAATAATTAAACTTGAATCAAATAAAGTTTAATTAGATTTAATGTCTTAGTTAAAAATTTTCAATCACGTTTTGAAGAGTTAATTAATCTTTATTTTGCATTACTTTATATATATATAAATGTTATCATAAATTGAATCTTTGCATAATTAAAATTAGTCTATGTTATCATCTAATGAAGTTGTGAAATGGGAATGGCAGCCATTCAACAATAATATTGTACATAATGGGCAAACTCTCAGAATAGAAGCTTCTAAAGTTATTAAATACTAGAACTCTAATCAAGGCTATTCATTTGATTTAAAGTTATGGAAGCCATTTCCATTTAGTGCAAATATTGGTTGGAATTGGCATAAATCTTGGAACATCCCTGAATTAGAGTGTTAATTAAAAGTAACAACATCATTTATATCATATAGATCGACAATGATTTCGACCATCATATACTGAATACACTAACCATAGTGGCAAATCTCTATATTGTTAAACATAATTATGATAAAATGGAAATGGAAAGCATAGGATGCAAAGGTTGTCCAGAAGGGGTCTTTAGAAATGGGATTTCAATATTAAGATAATTAAAGTTCAATACAACTTCATACAAGAATGAAGTATTATGTTATAGATAATATTTAAGTATCAAAAGTTTTAAATAGTCGTGGTCATCAGTTAAATCAATAGCAGCCAGTAATATGTTATCGATGCTAAATGTTCCCCATATATATTTGTAGATTCTAGAAAACATGCAAGATAATAGGCCCTTAATAATAATATTCAACTAATTATTGATCCATTTTTACCAGAAAACTTAGATAAAGAATTTGTAAAAAAGGAAAGAAAAAATTAACCAAAAGGTTTATTAAAGGTTGATAATACTATACAAGGGTTAATTAATTACTTCACAGCTCCAAATATTAGACATAAAATCAAACACCCATTATTCTTGGCTATTAAATTTGATAAATGTGTAAAATTATACTTATAGAGATAAAATCTTGTAAAAAATTCAAAAGACATTATACTAAAAGTATAGAGTATTTTGATGAAATCAAATCAAGAAAGATAATATTCAGATAAAGGGATGGCTTTACTATTTCAAATTGATTAAACCAATGAACTGGAATTTAAAAAAGTAAAGTTTTTTAATCATTAAAGGTATATGAAATAACTTAAATCTTTGAAAATGATATTTTTATGCTATACACAAAGCAAGATTAAATACCAGAGGATTATATTCCAATTGAGGAGACTTCGAGATTGAAGTATTATTATAAACAGTTGTATCCAAATTTAATAAATCAAAAAAGTGGAGTGAATTATTCATCTGAAAATTAAGAAGAATAACCAATTATCAAATAAGTAACTTTAAACGAAAAAGAGAATGAGAATTAAATAGATACACATTTATAAATTAAATAGTGTCAATAGCAAACATAATAACAAGAAGACATTAATAATAATTAACTTATTAATTATAAAAATTAGCTTTCATATTATTATAATTATTAATAATAATAATAATAATAATTATTATTATTATAATAATAATAATAACAATTCTAAATTTAATAATAATAATGGTACAATAATATGTAGTAACAGCTACAGCAATAACAATAATATTACATGATGCAATAATACCACAGATTTTATTGATTTATTAGTATTAATATATATAATACTAATTCGAAAATATATTATAATTCTTAATTATTCATTTATTAATTTATTTAAGTATTTTATTATGTATAAAGGATTAAATATATTTTAAAAAATTGTCACTTTCCAATATTTTGTATATGAAACTTCATTCATTTAAAATGGATCATTTGAACATTCAAGTAAATTGAATAAAATATATTTTTGTATGATAAAATTTATGAATATTTACATTTAATTAATACATGGTAAATATAAAGAAAAAAAACCTAAGAGCTCGACAAATAACATAAAGATGAAGAAAAAACATCATTGTAGAGATGGGAGAATTCGTAAATATAGATTTTACAAAAAAAAATGCTCAACCTATGGATTTTTAAGTTGATGCTTAACCAATCAATATATATATGAAAATAAGGATAGATTTAAGAAAAAACTTATAGATCCCAAGAAACAATCTTAATAGGAAAAACTAAAAATATAAAATAGGGCCGAATAATAAAAAAACCAATAATAACATAGTAGTAGAACGAATTTAAAGATATATGTTCAGAAGAAGGAAAATTAAAAAAAAGATTAAGAACTATTGTAAAATCAATTGTTACAATTCATCCAGGATAATAATATAATCCTTAATTAAAAGATTAAATGAATTACTAGATGATGTAGTAAAAATAGAAATTAGGTCCCATTAGAGATTATAAAATTAAGAGATTGAAGAGGAGAAAGCATAATAGTTAATAATATAAAGGTAATTTATCAAGCAAATAGATTAGAGAAAGAGAAAAAAGGAAATAAAAAAAATGAGCAAAATTAAAAATTCATGGAAAAGTGGTATTTAGATTAATTGAAAAATATAAAAATAATGAACTCTTATTAATAAAGAAAGAACTAAATGCTGAAGCTAAGTTAAAACTTCAGAAAAGGATATAATAGAGAAAGGGCAAAAAAATTATAGTGAAGAAATTTGGTACCTATTAAAATAGGAAATAAAAAGTAAGTTTTTATTTTGATTTATACAATTGATGTAACATAAGATGAATTTGTTTTAGATGATTAATTAAAGAGTAGCTTGAGACATGTAACTTAAGGGGATTTGTTAGTGAAGAGTGAATTTAATGGGTGTGTTAGAAGAGGATTGATTGAACCTAAATCAAAATCAAATAAATTATCAAAAGCCAAAGTTCCCTTATTTAAAATTAAAGAAAAATGATTGTTAAAATATTAATTTATATTTCAAACTATGTAACAACATTATCTTGATCATACTAACCCTGCCAATCCAACTCCTGCCCCAAATCCAGCTGCAGGAACAACTAATGGAAGTACTTTAGATGAAGATTGGTTGTTGATTGCTGGTATTGTACTAGCATTTTCTTAATTGGGTTTTGGATTTTTGGAGGCTGGATCTGTTAGATATAAGAATGCCTAATCAATAGTTATAAAGGTATTTCTTGGAATGTGTTTAACAGTATTAATATATTGGTTGGTAAAATGATTTTTTAATAATTCAAAATAGTTTGGGTATGGATTTTCTTATGGTGATGATTTTGGAACATATTTTATGGGAGGTACAAAACTTGGAGCATACAATTGGGCAGCAACAGAAGCATAAAATGATTATTCAAATTTTGGTAGTTAATTTTTATAATAATAATAGTGTTCAAAGCTACATTATCATGTATAGGAGTATCAATAGTATCAGGTGGAGCAGCTGAAAGATTAACATTCTTAGCCTGGGGTGTTTTGGCTCTCTTTTATTCAGGATTTGTATCTCCAGCAATAGTTCATTGGACTAATGCTAATGGTTGGTTAACTAAATTAGGATATAAAGATTTGGCAGGATCAGGATTCATTTTCTATTCAGCTGGTGTTGCTGCTTTAGTAGTGACAGTAGTATCTAAACCAAGAAAATATAGATTTGATCCAAATTCTACTTTAAACTTTTAACCATTCAGTTCAATATATGTGGCATTTGGAACAGTTATACTTTTTGCTACTTGGATGTTCATAAATGGTGGTTAAATTTAATCTGGTTAATCTACACCATATGTTTAAGGATTAGTAGCAGTTAATACATTGATAGCTGGAGCTGCAGGAGGATTTTGGAGTTTTGTTATAAGATATTTGACAAAAGAGACAACAAGTTTATTTTCAATTTCAAGAGGAATATTGGCTGGATTGGTGGCAAGTTCAGCTGCTGCTCATGAATCTTAGATTTGGGCTACTTCTATTGTTGCTTCAATTGCTGGCATTGTTTATACATTAACAGCCACAGCCTTACCTAAAGTAAAATTAGATGATCCAGTTTAAGTTGTACCTATTTTCTTGGTATTTAATTAAATTAATCTTAGCATGGTGGATTTATTGGAGTCTTATTTACAGGATTATTGGATGTAAATGGTGGATTATTTTATGGAAAAGGAATGAAATTAGTAGGTTGTTAATTGCTAGGATTATTAATTATCACAGTTTGGGTTGCTTTCTTTGTTTTTTTCATTTTAATAGTTCTTAAAGGATTTGCTGTTTTGAGAATTGATTCAGATGCTGAAGTAGCAGGAATTGATAAAGAAAAATGTATATTTTAAATATTATTTATTAGGTAATTATGAAGCCATTTCATTTTCTAATGAAGATCCATAATAAGTCAACATAATAAAATCAGTTTCATATTGATTCATACATATATTAATATTCATATTTTAAATGTATTAATAATAATTTGCCAAACCTCCTAAACAGATTAAGAGTAAGGCTTTTAAAGATAGACTTAAAGGACATAAAGATGCTATAATTACATTAATAAGTCCTTATGGAAATAATGGTAATTATCTTTACTCTGCTTCTAGAGATGGAAACGTTAAAAGTATTTTTATAACTATTTAAGGTTGGGATCTCTTAAATAGATAAATAGCATCCAAATTTTTGATTTCCAAATTCTCAGATGATACTACAGTATAAGATTAAGATGAAAATCAGTAAACAATGAAAGGAAATATAATATGTGCAGCAACATTTTCTGAATTCAACATTTATGTTGGATATGATGATGGTTTCATCAAATCCAATAACATCAAAACAGGAGAACCAGTCTATACTTATCAAGGACATAAAGCTTAAATCACATCTATTAATTTGTTAAATATAAGATAATTGGCATCTAGCTCTTTAGATGGTACTGTGAGATTATGGGATACAACTAGCAATGAATGCGAAGTTATTTTTAATATAGGATATCCAATTAATTCAATGAATGTTATTTTCGATAAGGAAATTAATTTATTATATGGTAAAAATACTATAGTCTAAATTGATCCTTACAAATAATCTATTGTTAGAAGTGTTTAATTCCCTAATTTTACTATTATGTCATATTTAATCCATAAAACCCTTTTGATTCTTGGTACTATTGATAATTTTATACACATTTATGAACTTTAATAATTAGATCAACCTAATCCTTAACCTATTAAAGTAATTGTTGGTTTACATGGATGGGCTTTATGTATGTTGGTTCATGATCCCTATTTTTATGTAGGAACTGATGATAAAAAAATCAAAGTTTATGAAATGAAAAATTGGGAATTAAAAGAGGAGTTTTCAGGACATATTGATGGAGTTACTACATTGGCACTTGCTAATGGACTCCTTTATTCTGGTTCATATGATCATCTCATTAGATCTTGGGATTTAGAAGAAATGTATTAAAGAATTAGGGAAAGAGCTATAATGGAAAAGGAAGATTTGAATGTAATTTTTTTTTAAATATAATTTTAGAGTAGAAGATATGATGTATATTTAAAGAGTTTACCTAAAAAAAAAAAGGCATTACCAAAGAAAAAAAAATGATTTCATATTTATTTATAAGTGTTTTTATTTTATTATAAGTCAATCATCTTCTTTATATTTAGTAAAACACTTGAAATTCAATATAAAATTATTAAAGTTCGAAAATTAAAATGATGAGATTATTACTAGATGGTTTATGATCATCAATGATTAATATTTTAAATAACTGATATAATTTTAATTATATATATATATTAATTTTTATTGTTTTCATCATCTATATTACTTAATATGTTTATTGACAATGTTAATTTACACATATTAATATTTTAATTACATTCATTACTCTATTAGGAGTTATGATTTATTATCATATGATAAATTTTATAATCATCAATTGAATGTCAATATTAAGATTAAATTCTGATTGATTAACGAATGAATAATTTACCCTATTTCATTAATTTTATATATTATTTGAAAACTGTTGTATATACATATATGTATATAATATTAAAATTAATTAAGTAGTAAGAATAGTTCATTTATATATGGATCTATTATAATTAAAGTTATGATAAAAAGAAATCGAAATTACCTTATTTAATAGAATTTGATTGATAATATGCTTCATATATATATAATTAATAGTATTTGAAAAATAAGATCAAATTGAGAAATCATTACTATATATTTTGAATATCTAAATAAATTAAATATACATATCAAATAAATAAGTTAGTATTTTATACAATTTATATCTAAATACATAGGTATATTCATACTTAAAATTTGAAACATATTTTATTTCTTAAGAGTATCATTATTTAAATTTATACGATGCAGATTTACAATTCATTATTTTATTATATTAATAATGGGGTGCCATATTTAGAAACACTAATATACAAAGAATGACATCATAATCTCATCTCCTAATCCTACAGTACCATCCTCTCATGAGATAATTTTGATGCCTTATGCTCTTGATTAATAGCATCCTGCTTCAAGGATACCAATTCAAATTCTTTGGAATATTGAAGTTCAAAGAACAAAAGAATAATCATCTGAAATAACTAATTCAATTTCACCGAATATTATTTTCAAACAAACATAAAAATGATGCTTTCAATAATATTTATATTAGTAGATATTAAATATTTTTAACTCAAAAGACTAAATTAAAATTATTTATCATTTTATATTTCATAAAGATAATTAAAGAGTTATTCAACATTTATATATTTATATATATACTTTCATTCTTTTTATTTTTTACTTTTCTAACCAAAATTAGTGATTAAGAAGAAAGCATATGTGACATATAATAAGATGTGGGGAACATACTTAATATTGCTATAGAATTTTAGAATTGGATCAACACTTAATAATAAAAATGTAATTCCAAATACATTAAATATAGTATTGGCTACATACCATCTAACAAACTTGGCTAAGGGATTGGTTTCAAATATTTTTAAATAGTTGGTATTACATGAAACTCTAAAGATTGCTTTATTGACATTATTCATGATTGCCCATTAAAAGAATGAAAAGTAATAGCCAATATAGAATCCATGCCATAATGATGATACCACATATGTCATTTGATAAGCAAAGTTTTATTTAGCTGCACTCTTCTTCATTTCTTCTTCAGTATAAATACGTGTATATACATATCTTCTTAACCAAGTTTAAATAGATATATTCCATTTCTCTACTTTATCTTTCATATTGTATGTCAAATCCCAATCTACATCAACTGCTTTAATTTTCTAAAATTATCCATTTCCTTAATAAGTAATACCACAAGAAGCTATACTCATTTCTGCTAATTGCCAACCACCAAAATATTTTGTTCTTTGAATTGCTACCATAATATTAAACCAAAGTGTTTGATATAAAACATTGTATGTTCCGAATTCATCAGTTGTAACAAAATGTAAAGGAAAGTATTTTTCAGCAAATAAAAAGATTCCCATACAAATTAAAGTATTTTTTAATAGTCTTAATGTTTCTTTTATTGTTGATGGAATATTTTTATATTCTTTATCTTCATTTATGAATTAATCGAAATCAAAATAATCATAACATGGTCCTAATACACATCCAGCAAAGAAGAAAATAAAAGAGAAATACTCAAAAAATGAAGGTAATTTAACAATCTTTCTTATTTCTTATTCTTTACTTAATTATGTTTTCAATCCATCACTTACACAAAAAGCAAAAGCAGTCCATTTTGGAGTATCCATCATCAAAATTGTTGTAACATCCATCTTCCAACCTCCATAGTCAGTATATTATCTGTATATATGATGAGCAGCCACAAAAATCATTGATTCCACAAATACAGGCCAAGGACTCTTTTTTCCCAAAACCTTAACCATTATATAAACCACAACAGTCTAAAATAGTACATTTATAATTTAAGATCTATAAATATAATAAGTTATTAAGACACCAAATACTGATCCTGCAATCAATCTTGTTTATCTTCCTATATTATCTATTCAATTTATTACCTCTAATAGATAATTTAAAAAGGAATCCAAACAAGGTGCAAAGGATCAAGGAAATGAATATTTTTAATTAATCATCTGGAATGCCTGTTTTTGAACTCAACTCAATTACTTTGGTATCAAATAAGTCCATAATTAATTTAAATTTAATGTCTTCAGATATTTAAGTTGATTTACTTAAAAGAAGATAATAACATGAAACTTTTCTAAAATGTTTTAAGGATCATTTACTTGAATTGTAATTTCCTTCTGAAGAAGAGTGTAATTATACGATTTCATTTTAGTAAAAGCAGCAAAAGAAGGAGGAGGACATTTAGGTAGTAAACTTATGAAGTTAGCCTAAAATAGAGATTTACATCATACTGATATGTCGGATACTTATGGCTTAGATAATGAATAGAATAGAGATCGTTTCAAAAAAAAAAATTATTTAAATCTCTTTCAAGTAGAAAGAGGACCTTGTAGGATATGTTCTAATAAAGAAAATAAATGTCCCTTTTATAGAGCATGCTTTAATATTGAAACATTTAGAGGAATTGATCTTTTCTCTTGTTTGAATTGTGGATGTCCCATGAATAGTCATGTCATATTATAATCAGATTATAATTTTTCAAACAGTATTTGCTAATAAGTGAATCGTAGATATATTAATGAATCTCATTTATAATTCAAAGCTTGTGTCTCTATCTTTTTTGTAGATGTGAATACTGCAAAAGACTTTAAAATTGATATAGAGAGTTTTATTACATCATTGAATGAAGCAGGTTTTAATGCTCTTTCATTTTATGAAATGGATATTTCAACACTACAAAAAATATGGTTAGAAAAATCACTCTATAGCAAAAAATCAAATATAAAAGCTCAAGAGTTTCAATAATATTTTCAATTTTATGGAACATTCTTAGAATTGATTGCTAAATTTGGAGTAGCTGATAAATTTGCTTTATAAGATTGTTTATAGAATCCAGATGACATCAAGATTTTAGAATTTTATCTGAAAAGGTTAGATAAAGTAAATTAAAAATTGGGTTTGGCATATTAAAGAAATAAAGTAGCATTTATTTTTTTAATATCTGGTAATTAGTTATAGCTATAAGCTGATTTTAAAAAGTTTTTATATGCAGCTAAATCTTAAATATCATATTTACATACTGATTATTAGAAGTATTTATATGAAGAAATTAAATATTCTGATTAATCATATTAACCATCTGAAAGAATCAAAACTAGTTCTACTTAAGATTTATTTTATACATAATAATAATAATAGAAGTTTTAAGAATTTTAATAAAAATTATCTTAGAGATCTTAAGATATGATTTATTATTATTCCTCTTAAACTAAAAAAAAATCTATTAGAGATACTTTG